AAACAAAAATAAAAAAAATATATTAAAAACAAAAAAATAAAAAAGATATTAAAAATCAAAAAAAAATCAAATAACCCCACCTATAGGAATAGAACTAAGCTGAGGTGGTAGGTGGGAATTAACCAGCCCCATTCCAGGTAAGATCCAAAGAGGGCAGTTTGGAAATTTGCATACGCTTGTCAATACTTCTAGTTCTCTGATTACGGAATGCCTAATAAGGAATTCGATTTGTGCCTCGTTACGTAAACAGTGTCTTTTTCAGTCGTCGACAATTCACATTCAGACTACCATTTAAGAGTGCTTGAGACCCTGTATATTAAATCCAAGCAACATTCCTACCGTAAGAGGAAGGAATGGTTGGTGGGTCTTAATATAATCTGTGATCCATAGTGCTGAATCTCTGACAATACAGTTGGGAGGAAATCATTTTATTTTAGTTTTTATTTATTTTACACGCAACAGAACAAAATTTTGAAAAATCGAGAAAAATAACCTAAAAAAACAACAAATAGGAAAATTCAAAAATAGAGGGGGTTACAACTGCAGTGCTATTGCACTGAATGAATAAAATTACGAATCCTGAATGAATGAAAATGTGATGTGACGGTGAATGTATTTTTTTTTTTACAGATTATTAACCTTTTGTGGTTTATTTAAAGCCGAAACATATTTTGGATTGTGAGAATAATTATTTCTTTTACAAGTGAATATTGCATTAACAATTTGTTGAGAATAACAATTTTCTAGATACAAGTCCTAATATTTAACCCATATGTGGGGGTAGATAGATTCATATCTTTTCCATGGGTGTTTGATTGAATTTTACCTCTTTTCAGATATATAACGTCGGAGTACCAAGTAGACAAAAAGTACCATTTTCGACTCTATGTTGCCTACAAATTACTCTTCTTGTAGAAGTAACAGTAGAAAATAAAGAGTTAGGACTTTTATTAACAGTTTCAATAACACGTCCAGTCAGCTTCAAAAGAGAGAGCAAGGTCGTAACAAAGGAAGAACAAATATAGCATTTGGCTTACTATTTTAGCATTTTATATATCTCTCTTCAAACACATATGCAAATTTTGACTTCCCTTCAATCAGATGGGGTCGATTGGAACTCATTTCTATAAATTTTCTGTGAAGATGAAATAACTTTCATTTTTTTCTTCGTCACAAGGTAACTATTGAATTCCCTCATTTCTCTCTCTCCAAAAGAGTTTCGCTAAGGTAAGTGCACAAAGTTTCTACAGTACACGTGGTGTTCTTATGACCCTAAGGGGTTATGGGACTCATGATTGTAATAGGGTTGTCAGTTAAATCTGTTCTTTTTTTTTTCCATTGTTATTTGAATTAACTTGTAAAATATTTTTACCGTATTTTTTTTTATAGCTTTATACTTCCTCTACAATTTTTGTTTATGGTTTTTAAAATTTGATTGAATTTTGCCTCTTTTCAGACATGATGATGAAATGCCAAGTAGACAAAAAAAGTACCATTTTTGACACTTGCTTCTCTTTGCTTTCAATCAAGGTTCCAAATCAGCCAAAGCCGTTCGAAACATTTGTACTGTGTCTGGAGGAGGCGCTATTACAAAAAGAACTGCACAGAAGAGGAACTTCGACTTCACAGACTCTCAGTGTTCCGGCTGACTTGCTCAGATCAATGAGGATCGACTGAATGCGCTCATCCACGAGGCGTCGCGTCAATTCACTTGAGAATTGGTTCAGCAGATGAGATGTTTTCATAATATTGTCGCCCTCACCATCATTCGGATATTTAAAATTGTTGGTGAATAGCAGGATTAATATAAATGAAAAAAAAAAGTAATAAACGGACAAATTTATTTGACAACCGAATATATACGATGGATTCCGGAAAGATGGAACATCAGTTACAAGTATAGTCTGTTAGTAAGACTAAAGACAGAGCAACAACAACAAACATATACAATATCTTAACATTTTTTATTACAGAAAAACGTCTTAAAATAAAACTGTATATAAACCCCTTTGATAAACAAAACTTTACCCAATACATGGCCTAAGAGACACTTAAGGTAGAGGGTTATACTTAAAATATATTTTTAAAAATACATTTTAGTTTTTCGGTATTTTCATGAATTACAATATATAAGTGACTAAAACAAACTTTGAAGCAAAAAGAGATATAAATATTCAATTTGGAGATTTTGTTTTTTATTCTAAAATAAATTACAAATGAGTTATATTTTAAACTTCTGAAACAATTAATGTGTTTCCCCAATTTTTAAGAAGTAGGAAAACCCAAAGATGGTGTGTGATGAATGAAAGAGCAGGTAGTAGAATGCGAAAATTACGAGGATAACGATTGATCCTTGAATCGAAGAAGTTAAGATTTTTATGTTCAGGGAAGCGCCAACTTTGGAACTTTTTTTTTTCACAAAGTGGAAGTTCTTGAGGAAAAAGAGCTCTCTGATTGGAACTTACTCCTTACAAATAGAATACGGTGTAAATGAAGAGGATTCGACTCCGTGGACGTAGCATGAAGGGCTGAAATGGTGAACGTAAAGAATGGAGCTGATCTGAACTTTTCCATGGAAATAGGAACAGAGTAGAGTCAGGCTTGCAACGTTTCACCCCAAAAGTAGAGAATGTCTACACCCCACAAAACCGTGTAAATAGTTGTGAACTCTATCAAGGCTAGGAGCTAGCAGCTCCACCCCAAATATGTCAGCAATACTCCATTAATGGTCTAATGTGACTGTTGTTGAGATAAAGCCTGGCAGAAATAGATAGACACTTCCTTTAGCGATAGAATTGACGGATCATTTTCCAGTACCACAGGCAATAGATTGAACCTAGGAGTTCCATTTGTGGTCTGGATTGAACTTAAGAGCCAAGAGATCAACTGCAAGGCGCTGATAGTCTTGGGTTTTGGAAGTACGTCCATAAAAAACAGATATGTTATATACCGTACATATGAACACTAATTGGTATGTACCAATCCTCATAAATACGTTGGACACTATAGTAAGTGGGTGTAATATGCTAAATAGTCCACCACTAGCTGTGGTTTACCTACTTTACGCCGCAGGCGAGTGATGTATTTTGTTGATGTTATAAAGATTAACTTTTCATTTCCAACCTCCATTTTGGTTATTCCTCATTCCGAAACCGTTTCTAGGTTACAACTGGGTATCTATCATCCGCAGAGATGTTTACCAATGTCTTGGGAGAAAGTTGTTAAACGCGCGCACACATATTAGATAGAGTTGTGTTGTTAAAATAACTGCCATTTAATTCTGTCAAATGTCATATCATTGATGTTTAGCATCACGTATCTTATCTCATCACCAACTTAACAATCCTTCCATAATCGCGATAACTAATTTACATATTCAGTTTTGAAAATTCACATTGTGACAATTTTAATTTCTGATCTTTATAAAATCAAGACGTGAATGGAAAAATTGTAATTTTACGCTTTCATTTCAGATTTGAGTTTTAATCTTTTTTTCCCCAAATAAATGTATAAATATCTATTTAGTAAATTTGTTAACATACGTTTTATTTTTTATTTTTTTTTTTTATGAATTACAATATATAAGTGATTAAAACCAACTTTGAAACAAAAAGAGATATAAAAATCCAATTTAGAGATTTTGTTCCTTATTCTAAAATAAATTACAAATGAGTTATAATTAATACTTCTGAAACAATGTTTCCCTAATTTATAAGAAGTGGGAAAAATCCAAATTTGCCATTTTTTTTTGTAATTATTGGGATCACTACCCGGATTAAAAGAGAAAAATCATAACATTTTAAGTTTTCTATACGTCAGGAAAAGTTAATTAATTAATTTCATATTTTATGTTTATTTATCTCTATTATTTGTGAAAAATATTCTTTTAGAATCATTAATCATGAATATTAAGATAAGTTTATGCTGCAGAGTCACTGCATTTTGGAAAAGTGTGTACAGCATTGTAGTGTTGATTGTGGTTTTCAGACATAGTACAGTGTAACCCGGATATAAGAGACCCGGATATAAGAGACCCGGATATAAGAGACCCGGATATAAGAGACCCGGATATAAGAGAAACCCGGATATAGAGAGATTTTCTCTGGTCCCAAATTTGAACCTATACTTACCTAAACAAAATAGACCAAACCCGGATATAAGAGAAACCCGGATATAAGAGACTTCTTCTCTGGTCCCGACAACTCTCTTATATCCGGGTTACACTGTATACCAAAAGTTAATTATTTACATTCGGAACCAATGCGCTTTTCTTTGTTGTTATTTTCACAGCGTTCCGTTGTTCCCTCCAGATTTCTGTCTTTCGACGCGAGTAACTTTCAGAGAATTTCGAAATGAATCCTTTTATTAAATCTTGAGCTGGTTTGTGGATTTAATGTCATCGTAAATGTGAGTTCAATGCCTTAGACTCAGTGGGAAAAGAATGAGCAATAACTGAGCTGAAAACAGTAAGAACAAATCAAGATATTCCTTGGCATGGTCAGCGGAACGAGAACAATCTATCCCCGTAGCTGAACTAAAGGGTTAGGTTCGAAATTCCCTGAGGGTTACTCGGATCAATAGAAGCCTTAAGAAAACTGGAGGGTACAAAGTCCAAAACACTGTGATAATAACAATAAAGACGAGGACAATAGATTAAATGTGCCGTATCAGGTCGATACACAAAGTCCTCACACTAAAAATTAACCTGTTATATTTTATCATTGTGGGAGGCAAAAAAAAAAAAAAAATACCGGTAGAATTGCGCACATCATAGTTAGGCAGGTAAGTCGATAGGGTGGGGATCAGATACGAACAGGCATATTAATATTAGGTTATTTGTAAGGTCGCATTTTGAAGTGGAAATTATGTACAAAATGTAACCAAAAATAAAGAAAGGTGGGAAAAAATGTAAGAAAACTTAAAAGGAAAAGAAAGAAAGAAAGAATTACAAAACGAAGAAAAAACAAAAAAAAAAAATGAGGAAAGAAACGTGGACTTACATGTTGAAGAAATGCATACCCTCTGCTTTGAGGTTTGGAGAAATGCATTTCCAGCTTTGTGTCATGGCGCGTTTCTCCTTCACTTTAAGACCAGTTTTGCTATCAACTTCTTCGTCGTCGCGTGGTGACATGATTCCAATTTTTCGAATTAATGCGTCTATAACACTGAAGATAGCCCCCATAACACGTACGCACCGACAATAAGTAGATGAATAGACAATTCACTTTCAAAAGTTGCGGTCAAGATAACACTGAAAAGCAAAGAAAAGCATCATATATGAATTAATGAAAGCTCTAGAAAGGGTTTGAATACAGTTTACTGGGCACACTTAGCAAAGCAGTAAAATTAAAGATGGCGGCGATGACTAAACGAATGGAATTATCGCCATCTTATTAATTTACTTTACATGAGATGAATTAAATTTAGTAAAAAAAAAAAAAAAACAAGGACAAAATTAGTATCATGCTCAAATAAAAAGGGATACAAATAGTGGCATTTTTTAAAACGAGTAAATGCTTATTTCATCTTTTAATCGTCGAAATAGTTCTGCTGCTTTGCTAATTGAGTTCGCTAAACAGGAGTTAAATCCTAAAAAGATAGTAAAAAAATATTTTGACAAAATTGATATATGATCGAAAAACGCAATGTTTGTGCTTGGAATCAGTTATGGTCGAATAACAATTGAGTCTTTAAGTATTGCTGATACAAAATCTGTTAACATGAATAAGATTCTAATAAAATCAATTTTTTTTATGTCAGTGGCCTTCCAAAAGCTAAGCAAAGTATTAAGAAACGGAACAGTTTCTTAGAAACAAAGAATCCAGAACTGCTATGTACTATCATTCCTATATGGCAGTGAATGCTAGAAAATCTTATAAATGAAAGACTTGAGACAAAAGAGATGTGATCCTATAGAAGGATCCTGAGAATAATATGGACAATATGTGAGTAACGAAAAGGATGCTTACATTTAAGATCAGTTGATAGTCAGATAAAATTTCTCGGACTTTGATAAAATTTGAGGAAAGAAGACTTGGTGAATTTAACGCTCATAAGAAATATTGAAGGTAAGATGGACAGAGGCAAACAGTTAAGAACTTGTTTAAATGTATAGTAGAACAAGGAGTGGAAGAGATGGTGAAAAGATGAATTCTACTAATAGGTACAAAGGATAGGAAGCTGTGAAGAGCCATGATCGCTCACGTTCTAATGGAACATGGCACCTAGAAGAAGAGTAAGAATTATCTCTATTACTATTTGGACCAATATTGGTTGTTATAAATTCTTTCCAGTCTATTGACCGTTATCACTTTTCAGCTTCTTCCAGTAAGTCTCCAAAATTTCACAACGACCATTAAACATAGCTTGGCTTGTTCAAACACGACTGACATTTTTTCTCTGGTAGTCATTTGTTCAATCCTTGGGGTAATCCACAAACATCCGCCCGCCCGGCAGTTGGCCTTATTTTTTAGGGGTCTTACTCCTTTGCAAAAAAAGCACTCTGACAAATAAACACATAGATTAAAATAGAAACGCATAAGATCTATACTTTCGTTCACTTTATATATATCTGTGTGTCTGTCTACTATATATATATATATATATATATATATATATATATATATATATATGTGTGTCTGTCTGTCTGTCTACTGTCTCTCTCTCGCTCTTTCTTTCTCTCTCTCTCTATATATATATATATATACATTTATGTGTGTCTATTCTCTCTGTCTCTCACTGCTTTGCTCTCTCTATACATCTCTGTATGCTTCTCTACTGTCTGTCTCTCTCACTCTTTCTCTCTATATATACATCTCCATGTGTCTGTCTACTGTCTGTCTCTGTCTCCCGCTCTCGTTCTTTCTCTCTCGCTCTCTCTATCTCTCCCAGTCTATCTCTCTATGTATACATCTGTGTGTGTCTGTCTACTCTCTCCCTCACTCTTTCTCTCTCTATATATACATCTCTGTGTGTCTGTCTACAATCTGTCTCTGTCTCTCGCTCCTTCTTTCTCGCTCTCTCTCTCTTACACACTTTCTCTTTCTTTATATACATACATCTCTGTGTGTCTGTCTACTCTCTTTCTCTCATGCTTTCCCTCTGTATATACATCTCTGTGTGTCTGTCTACTATCTGTCTCTGTCTCTCTCTTTATTTCTCTCACTCTCTCTCTCTATATATATATGTTTGTCTGTCTACTCTCTCTCTCCCTCACTCTTTCACTCTATATATGCATCTCTGTGTGTCTGGCTACTGTCTGTCTGTCTCTCTCTCGCTCTCTCTTTCTCACTCTCTCTCTCTATATATATACATCTTTGTGTGTCTATCTACTGTCTGTCTCTGTCTCTCCCTCTCGCTCTTTCTCACTCTCTCTGTATATACATCTCAGTGTGTCTGTCTGCATTCTGTCTCTGTCTCTCACACTTTTTCTTGCTCTCTCTCTCTCAGTCCCTATCTATCTATCTATCTATCTATCTATCTATCTATCTGATAAAAATATAGTTTTACGGTATGCTATATTTATGGGTAAAAGTGCTCAGTATTAGAGATAGAGCGTATGTAAATATAAAAGTGGACAATAAGGTCAACATCAATCAGCGACAGTCTGTTTCATTCTTCAGCCTTGTCTTTATTGCCTGAAGTTTGCGTTGAAGCTTGAAACAGACTGTCACCGCTTTGTTTTGACCTCAATGTCCACTTATATGTTTCTGTATGTGTGTGTGTGTGTGTGTTGTGGAGTAGTTTTCACAGTGGAGGCTTGTATTTCAATAAGTCGTCCTAAATTAGGTTCGACGTACAAAACGTTAGGAACTTGAAAATAAGAGTTAATGACGCAGCAATCTAGTTGTGATGGTTGGTACTTCAATGTGCGATATCATCTGACGCGCTCAACGCCACTGAGTATTTATCGTTCCACCCACGAGGACCGAATATGGCACAAGGTCGGTTTTAATGCGGGTATCTCCGAGCTCGTAGGCTCGGCCAAAAAAAATAGGCTTAGCCAAAAAACCTTGCCCTTCGACAAAGCCTCGTAGGTTCCTTTGAAGCCGATTAGACGCGCGCAGTCAAAGACCGCGAGACGCCACTGGTATTTATCTTTTCACCCACGGAAAAGAATATGGCACAAAGGCCGGTTTTTAATTTAGGTTTCCCCGTAGGCTCTACCTCCCGGGTTCAGGACGAAAATCTTGCCCTTCGACAAAGCCTCGTCCGGTTCCTCTTTCTGCTAACGCAGAGAGTTCGACAGGAGGCGCGCGCAGTCAAAGACGCCACTGCGAGACGCCCCACGGAAAAGCCGGCAACCGGTTTTTATGGCGACTGCTACTCGGCCAAAAAATATAGCTTTTTGAAGCCGATTAAACGGGTTCAGGCCCTGTCCACCTCCCCGGACGAAACCTTGGGAAAGTCCATTTCGCAGTCAATAGAATAGGTAATATTATTAATCCAGCAGAGTCCAACAATAGAATAGGTAATATGGCATAACAGTGTATTGATATATTGCGTAAGATATTATTATAGAAGACACATCTTATTTGAAACAGACGCTCCATTTTTATTTATTTATTTATTAAATAGTGTATAATGCGTCTACGTTTCCTGAAAAATTGTTTTAATAGAAAGCTTTATAAATTTCAACCGATAGTATAACTAACTGTCCCGTCAATGTATGCCGAATGTTTCTTTATAAGGAAACATCTAGTATTATCATTACTATTACTTACATAAATAATATGTATATTTCCCAATCTTTCTCCTGTTACATTACCAGCACATCCACGTTTAAGGTATCTGGTATTTCCAAGCGGGAACCAGTTTAGATACTGACCAGGTTCGAGGTTGCCTAACTACGGTGACCGGACAATAACCCGTATGTCAACACAATATAGCCGTAAGCCCCTTGAATTAATAACTCGGCCTTTAATACGTATTTATCAAGAGTTCATAAACCATACCTTTAATTCTTAAGGGTACTCAAAGTGAATTCTTATATACTGTTAATTTCGTTTAAGGACCTGAGTATATCAATAACGGTTTTGGAAGTTTTTGTGACTATTTTAAGATTGTTTAGATGGGATAGGTTATTCTGGATAGTGGACGTGACAGAGTTGGACAGTAGTATTATGCATCTGTTTTCATGTAATTTATTATTGCGGATTATGTTGTTATTTTGGTTTTGGTTGTATATTTTGCATGCCTTTCTTCTTGCGTTATGGATGAAATGATATGGGTATGGTAGGTTTTTGAATGTGTTTTCTACGTATGTGTTATGGTCCAGGTTAGGACCAAGGAAGAACAACACGAACACAAGAGTAAAAATAACGAATGTATATTACACGAAATAATAATACAAGATGTGGAAGGTGTTAGTATGACTGTCAATCTGGTTTGGAGTGAACTACTATCGGCTTGACTCGATTCGGTATCTATCCCCCCACGACGGCTGCATGTGGCACATTTAACGTGGGTTTCAGCAAGGCCGGCCAGTTTAGAACGCGTATAAACGGGATCAGGTTGGTCAACCTCCCGAACGAGACTCTACCCTTCGGCGGAGCCTTGTCCGGGTTCCTCTCAGCTCAAAAATGTTCGACCGTCAAGTCGAACGCGTTGATTCAATCTAGCCACCCCCCTTGATGAGGGGATCGACACAAGGTCATTTTTATCGTGGGTTTCAAGGCTCAGCCAAAATCCCGAACGAGATAGGGTAGGTCTTCACCCCCGAACGAGATTCTGCCCCTTCGCGGAACCTCGTCCGTTCCGCTGAAAAGTTCCCGTCAAGTCGAGAAGCTCAGAGGGTTGCAGAGGGTTGTGGTACAAGGTCATTTTATCGTTCGACCCGTCAAAAAAATATGTCGAGACTCGTAAAAACGAGATCAGGTAGGGTCATTCACCCCGAACGAGATTCTGCCTTCGGCGGAACCTCGTCCGGGTTCCTTTCTGCTCAAGAGCAGAGAGTTCCACCGTCAAGTCTCTTGATTCCACCCCTTCTCTTGAGAGGCGTAGTATACATAGTGTTAGGAAGAGTTCATTCTGTAGTTATAGGTAAGGACACACGACAGTATGTTTCTTCTTTAGGTAAAATAAATTGCCACTTTCCTCTCAATATATTGGAGAAACAAGCAGAAATTTAAA